CCTCGGCCCTTAAAGGGGAAAGGTTGCCTACCCCTGATCTAGGCTTTCAGCCACCTCCCAGAGGGCATTTTCTGTGGTCGCCCCCAGATTATGGAACAGCCTGCCGGATGAGATCCATCAGTTGACATCTTTAGACAGCTTCAAAAAAGCTGCCAAGACGGATCTCTTCCGACAGGCCTTTCCGGGATAGATAATCCTGGCCTCAGGAACCCTTCCCTCTGGAGGGTCCCCAAGTTCCTCCGGGAAGATTTAATGAGAACTGTTGCTGTAGTCTCAAAGCGCTGTTAATATTATTGCTGTATTTTAATTGTTGTTTTTAATTTAATTGTTGTTTTAATCTGTAATTGATTTAATAACTTTTTAAGGGGGGGAATTAGATTTGTTGTATTTGTATTGTATTTTATTGCTGTTAGCTGCCCCAACTGACCTCAAAGGGGCAGGATATAAATAAATTTTATTATTATTATTTTTTATTAAACATGTTAAACAGGTTAAAAAGAGTAAGGTAGTTTAAATAGCTAAAAACATATTAAACAATATAATGAATTCAAAACTGATTTTAAAAATTTTGAAGTTTTAAAAACTATAAATAGCAGTCTTTGGGTTTCATTAATGAGGTCCAAAGGCTTTGGTGAAGAGTCAAGTTTTAACTTGGAGCCTAAATGGTAAGAGTGTTTGTACCATTCAGGCCAGCTGAGAAGGCTCTCCCCCAAGCCATTTAGGGCTTTAAATGTCTCCATAAGCACTGTGAATTCAGACCAGAAATGTATTGGCAGCCTGTGCAGTTCTTTTAAGAATGGCATGACATGGTGTCCATATAATATGCCAGTCAGTAGTTGTACTACCTGAAGCTTCCAAGTCTTCTTCAAAAGCAGCTCCATAAAGAGTGCATTATAGCAGACTGAAGAGTGCATTACAGTAATCTAGTCAGGAGGTTACTAATGCATGGACTATTGTGGTTAGTTTATCTGTCCAGGAAAGGCCATAGCTGGTGCAGGAGCTGAAACTGTTAAGAAGCACTCTGGGCCAAAGTCTATTAGGACCACCAGTGATAGACAGGGATCTAGGAACATTCCCAAGCTACAAATCTGCACCTTCAGGGTGGGAGAGAGGGCATCCCATCCAAAACAGGATGCTTACCCAACTCCTAGACCCAAGAACCATAAATCCACAAAGCTTCTGTCTTATCTTATAATCTTATGTTCATGTAAGACAAAAATTATTACATCTCTGCAAACATATACATTTGACTTCTGTAACAGTGTACATCTTATATTTTATGTATGCATACATAAATCACACAAACAAACTATTCAATGTATTAAACTTTCTACATTGGGCTATACAAAAGTTTGTCTTCTTTGTAGAATCTATCTCAATGGGGGGAGGGGGCGGAGATTGCCATTACCATGCTGTCATTAACTACACCATTCTCACCAATTTCCATGAAATTTCTTCATTTGATTGGTATATCTTTTGTTCATAAACAATCCAACATCCTGAGAGCTGAGGTATTCTCTGCCAGCATCACTCTCCTCCTCTATCACTAACTGTGCCAGTTTTCTTCACATACCTTTTGGAGTAAACAATGCTGAGAAAAGGAAATATGTGTCTTTTTGTTTATACTATATTTTTATTTAGCTAGGTTTGGAGTGCCCTTCTGGCCTATTTTAGGCCTACAAGAAGTCTTTTTCACAATCATGAAGTGACTTAGACGTCAAATCCAAGTATGGGAAAAGACCTCTTTGGTCTACAACAGCTTGGCAGGTTATAGAGCCATGGAGGGTGGGTGGAGAGCATTTTCAGCATGAGATATACACACAACGAAAAAATTTGCCCAGAAAACCCTGTGAAAGGTTCATCTTAGGCTCGCCCTAAATCAGAAACGACTTGAAGGCACACAACAATGAAACACACTCCCATGGGGTGATGTGGGGAGCATGGGAGATGAGAAATGTATTGGGGTCCCCTGGGGAATGTACTGAGGTCCCTGGGGGCTTCATGTAGCCCCTAGGATATACTTTCTCCTGCCCACAAAACCAGACCCTCAGTGATTAGGGTTATTCTTTTCTTCAGCTAGACACAGGCAGAATCTGTTCCCTAAGTCTCTCTTGATTAAAATCAACATAGGAATTATTCTGGTTTTGCTGCAGCTATCACTTTGATATGGTCAGTTTTGCAAAATATTTCATAATACATAGCTTCTAGTTATTTCGGCAACCAGAACAAAGGACCAAGAGTTGCTTCACATATGAGAGCATTTCTGTATGTCAATAATTTCAATAAATGGGAAAAAATGCAGTCCATAAAATCTTGGGTCAAATAAAATAACTTAGTCCTTAAGGTGTCACAAGACTCGCGAAACAGCTAACCCCCTCAAACTTTTTAAAAATTACCACTGATGACTGAAGTAGCAAAAACCATTAATTATGACTAAAACTTAGCATAGTTGACATTTATGAATAATTTTTTTAAATTAAGATTTTGGTTGAAAAATGTAAATATTTTAGAGGTTATGAATTAATTTTTAACAAGTTGTTTACAAGGTTTGCCTAGAAATCAAAGGATAAACATTGCACAGGCTAAAAGTAATGAGAAAATATTAAGGTAGAATAGATATGGGTGTGGCTTGCGGTAAGGGAAAGTTTACATCTGCAGGGAACATATTTCAAATGAACTGAAACTAAGGGGGAACCAATGCTATTAATTCCTTATATAGTACAGTAATTCCCAAACTGGTCCTCCAGATGTTTTGGACTTCAGCTCTCAGAATTCCTGGCTTCTGGCCACAGTGACTGGGGCTTCTGGGAGTTGAAGTCCCAAAACCTGGAGGATCAAAATTTGGGGATCACTGGTCTTATAGGTGCACTGATGCAGTATGTATATTGCTGAATATGCAGTTATTACAGCTAGACAGTGTAAAAACAGAGCCCCATTCAGGCCTAAACACATAAGAAGAAAAAGTTCCCTAGCCTCCTTTCCCCAACATACATGTTTCCATATGAGAAAATAGTCTAAAGAAGAGAGCCTCATCTCTCCATGAAGACTCTCCATGTGATTAAGAATATTGGAAAAATCAATATTCCAATTTACGTGGAGAGCCTCCAAGCACAGAAGAGCCTGCTTTCCACCTTCAGAAGGCACTGGAGGTAGTATGGCTCGCAGATTCCATGTGTGGTTTTTACAACACCCAAGAGGATTTGTAACAATTCATTAATCAAATTCACATGGTAGAACCAGCTGCTTATCCATATATTAGTGCACACTCCTACTGAATACTAAAGCATCTTTTAAAATCGTTCTTGCTTCCTTACAGTGAAATGGTGGTAATGATGCATTTGGTACACCAAACTATTTCTTTATTGAACAATATAACTCTCGAGATGCAGTGTAATGATGCTGTTAATATATATCCATCCACCTGGCTGCTTTCCATTTCCACTCTCTAGGAACAAATTTATCTGGCTCTTCTTCAGCCATGACAATACTTTTAGTATTTATATTATCAAACAATACAATTACATGAACATACTTATACAGAACAGACTGATAGGAGCATCTTCTGGTACGGACATTCTGTACTCTTTATTTCATTATTCTCTTCTGACTTGCCCATCTATCTCCTAAACCTAAACAGTTGCCGACTCTTGTCAAACACATACATCTCTGTATTCAATCTGGAAAGAGAAAGAGACCTCTGGCCCAACTCTCATTGAAAAGACCTAATTCTTTTACTGTCTATGAACAAGCCAAGTTTAGAACATACTCTTTAATTTCCATGACACAGAAAAAATCCAGCAATGCATCATGCCATTCTAGAAAAGACAGAAGAAAAGTAATGATGTAATTACTTTGGTTGTGTTTTGTTCAGCATTCAACATCCAGATGTCCTGCTAAGCCATGAGAAAGAAAACATAACTATGGTTTAAGGCAAGCTAACTATGTTTGTATCAATTATTATTTGACATATTGTCTTAATGGGCTAATTACAGTTAATGCCGTTGCTCTGATTCCAGAGAGCACATAAAAAAATAAAAAACTTAAAATTTCAATCTGAATCAGAAAAGAAGCTGAAAAATATAGGTTGGCTTTATGTTTCAGAGCTCAAGATATGTC